ATAAATGAATTAACTGCATTTGATTATCAGCATCTGGCTGATACTTAACCTCTAAGTCTCTACGGATGCATTGGGGTGCACTTCGTTTTTCCCCACACTGTTTCTACATTTTGCTTTGGTTTTGTTACAAAGTGTGATGATACATATGTTATATTTTGTATTTTATTACAGGTTGTATTGACCTAATTTTACAACCTACAAAGAACCTGATTAATTTGTGCTTGTGTACTTTCTTTGTAACTGCACACGAGTCCTAAAGATAATCCTGTAATCTAAATGTACGTTTTCAAAGAGCATATAACTTCGGTGCAGAGGAGGTATTCAGCCAGACGATGATAAACTCAGCTCATCAGCAGCTCTGTTTTTGCATCCGTAAACCTTTTAGAGGGGCAGCACCGACATCTTTGTGTCCTTCAGGTGTGTTATGGAAATTTCAGAAGGAAGCTCTTTTGGGAGTTTCATCTGTAGTAGACCTGTTTTACTCTGAAGTTGGATTATTCAGAGTGCTGTATACTGCATGCCGTCTTCAGCTTTGCCCAAGGATGTGATTTTAGCCCATTTCCTCACTTCTGTTAAGCAATTAGTACCAGTTAATTTCAGTGTGCCTTGGAAATCAAATTGGTTCGTGAAGAGTCTCAAAAGTTCCCCGAAAGGCATGTGCAGCGTGACGGCTCTTCAGTATTACTCCAAAGAAAGAGTCAGGGGGTTCAGGCCTCTGAGCTGCAGTTTTCTTCTTGATGGCACGCTAAGAAACACTGAATGTGTCAGTGACCTAAAATCATGCAGCGCGATGTGAACGCTGGAGCACGAACGGAGGAGAGAGACGCTCTCTGCTGCGCAAAAGTTCCAGTCGTGACCTTTTGTGTCACTTCCTGTGTGCAGAGACGCTCATGCCCTGCAGATGTCTGCTTTTGTGCTGCAGGGCCGATCGGTGATTTAGGCCAGCACTGAGGAGCGATTTTACACGACATCAAAACCAAACATAGAATTATTTTTTCATATTTTAGACGTGCAGTAAAACACAATATACACGCCCCAGTCCATTTTAAGTTTTCACTATGATATTGGCGTAATTAGCTGCTACACTGTTACTACACGGTTAGCCATCTAGTTAGCTGTATTAGATTAGATGTGTTTCCATGTTAGCTTAATATGTTTTTTAACTTCCTGTGTGATTTCTGTCCATGTTTTAGATGTTCTAACGAATATTA